GGGCAGTGGCCCCTCCCACCCCCCCACTACCCACCCCCCTCTCAGCCCGCCACAGTCCCTCCTGACATGAACCTTCCCTAGGGAGAGCGATACTGCACCTTCCTCTGTGGGACTCATATTTATAACAGTGTGTAATGACTGTAGCAAGAAGCCCTTGTTTCTAGATGTAAATGGTCAAAGAAACAAGTGCTCTATTGTATTGATTAAAATAGTTCCAATGAGTCCTGTATCATTGTATCTCCTATTCTGGATTAGTGCCTTTTGGACAGTAGACTGTTCTGTAATTAAAATGTAGTATATACTGCTTTTTTGTACAGTTTTGTTTTAATAAAACTTTTTTTTAATTTGTGTTTATTTTAGTATTGTACCTATTAGAGAATAAAACGTATAACTGAACGACGCCTGGTTGGGATTTCTTTGGGAAGGAACATCCGTCTGGGAAGTGCCTGACACTGACGAGGGGCGGGAGCGTCGTTTTGAACATCAGTCCCTTGTGCTTTAAAAAAGGATCAGTCCACCCAGAGACCAGAAAGTGCGTGCAAAGGGTTGAGGAGGCAAACTACCAGGGTGAGAGGGAATGCTGGCTCTCAGGAACGCCCCGGGTCCATCCCAGTCCACTTCTGTTTCGTGGTGTCCCCTCGCTGGGGGCACCAGCCTCCCAGCTTTCCTTCTGACTTCCCACCATCTTCCCCGGATCCTAGCAGTTTCTCCACCTTGAACTGTGCTGAGCAGCGACACCACACACCTTTACTCCCCGCTCCTAGCCAGACCCTGAGCACCTCATTTTCTTAAAAGAGCCATCTGTCCTGGGGCGTCCCCTTCAGCAGTCAAAATAAAAATGAAAGAAAGCCAAAGCTTTTGTTATTTGTTTCTTTAAAGGCATCCAAGAGTTGGGATCAAATTCTTGAGCAGGACAAAGCACAGGAGCTCCCCTCTCTCACCCAACAGACAAATTGATTTACTTTCCCCTTCTCAAAGAAAACCTGAAATAAACAGTCTCTTTTCATTACACGTAGTTAGAGAAGACTGCAAAGTTTTCAGTTGCCCCCAAACCCTAAGCTGCCAGGGGAAGGAGGGCCGGAGATGAGAGGGAAGGGGCAAGGCAGGGCCAGCCCCTCCCCGTGCTCGTGTTTGGCCAGCATTGCTCCTCCTGATTCTGTCCTTCCTGCCTCCCCCCCCACCCCCCGGAAGTCTTCCCCACCT